GAACCTCTTATACTTTTTTTACAATTTGGTCAGTACAACAATATAAACGAAGATTACGGATCAAGGAAAGAAGATTTTAGGTAAGTATAATTTGATAGCAGCACTTTCCAAAATCGTTATAAATTATTATTTTTATAATTGAATTAAAAGAAAAATGTGTTCTTCTATATGTGAGGTGACTTCTCAATTAGCCCTGCTTTCAAAGCTAGACTAGAGGCCTTTTGAATAGTCCATACAGTTTGTAAACCCATATTTTCTTGTATAGAATTTTTTAAACCATTGATGTATCGGGTTACCTTCTGGTTCTTTGTCTCTCCTAGGTTATTGCGTAGAGAAACGTAGGAACTCGGCTGTGTATTTTGTCACAACACAATCAAGATACATTCTAGCATCAACTGGTAAAAACCATTCTAGCATCAACTTGTAGAGAATCTGCTCGTAGTCTTCTGGTAAAAACCATTCTAGCATCAACTGTTTCATACGACGCCAAGTTCTAACTGGCTCTCTGAAAAACAAGTTTATCCCACCACACAGGAGCAATTTTCTTCAACCTGATTGTTACCATCTTTACTTGCTTATTCTCAGGAACACCCATGACATCAAAGAATCGATCCACATCGATTTGCCTATCTAGAAACTCCTCCACATTCATAGTTCTGTAAAACAATGGAATATCAGCCTTTACTCGATAATCATGATTGTTTTGTCGATTTCCTTGTTCAACTACCTCTTCTTCCACAGGTTCTTCATCATCAGAACTCGAATTCTCGACAATAGCATCACGGCTGTTTCTAGTCCTTTGAACCACTTCTCTGTTTCTTTGTTGATTTTCGTTAACTCTAATAAACTCTCCTCCTCTGTGTCTTTGTTGATTGTTGTTATTGGCATTTCTAATCTCACTTGTTAGATTCACCATCGATTCATTCAAAGCAGCTAGGGCCATGGTAAATCAGCGGTAAAACCCTGCAAATCTACTTTGGTTGCTGATTGTTCTCCCATGATCAAGCTTCGAAAAGAGACAGGAGAAAACCTGCTCTGATACCACTTGACGCAGTCAGAAAACTCTAGAAAAAGCAAGCGCTAAACCTAGATCAAAATCAAGTTCACTAGCGATGAACTTGAAGGATAAAACTCTGGAATCTACTAGGGTTTTGGAATCCACCAAAAAAGAGAAAACTCTGAAAATTTTTATTAAGAAAAAAATAAGATATGCCTCTTAGCTACAAAGTAAAAATGTTAAATAACAAAACAAAACCATAAGAAAATATCCAAAGCCCAAAAAAAAAAGGTACATAATTAATTAAGAAAAAGGAAACGTTTTATTCAAACATCTCCTACATCATATTTACACAATCTATCGACGTTTACCTTATTAATACTCTTTCACATTCTTAGATATGAAAAAACTGTTTGCGTTAAATTCTAAAATATTCACGTGAAACTCGTCTGCTTTTGCTTCTCCATATCTTCTTCTCTTCAAAACGTTGTTATCTTAAGTTTCATATTCTTGTGGCATTTTTTTGGGTAAAGTTATGAGCCTTTGTTACTTCGAGCAAAAGACCATATATATTCTCAAAACATGATCGAAAAGAGAATGATATCATCAACATATAAGCTGGGTCCTCTAATTAAGTCGAATCTCAAGACGATTATGATTGAAAAATCAAGACAAAGGACACTATAGGGTAGTGTCTACTAAAGAAAATCTATAAACTAAAATTAGCTTGCTTACTACATCAAGCAACCTCAATCGACCAACAAAAATCCAGCATCAGAAGATTTGCTATCCTCCTTTTCCAGTTCCACTTACTAGGTTTCTTATTTTACATGGTAAACAAACCAAATCGATAAGATTGTCAACAGGTGACCAAAAACAGAGTAAGAAAAATTGATCAAGTTGATGGTGTTATTAGTTTTATAATTGAAATTAAAAGAAAAATATGTTCTTCTCCTTTAACCATTTGCAGTCGCCACTTAGGGATATACGAGATGTTAATTTTGGGATCGGAACACATTATAACCCAAAATATGATTCAACCAAAACATCGAAAAGTACATAACGAAGGTCTTTTGATAAAGCCGAATCTCTAGACTATTAAATCCATAAATCAATAAAAAGGAAGCAAAGGAAACGATATATATAGTAGTGTCTACTAAATGAAAACGATAAACTAGCGACTTGATTTCTACGTCAAGCAACATCGTCAACCAACAAAAAATCCATCTGCAGAAGATTTGTCCTTCTTCTCCAGTTCAACTTTGTGACATGCCACCATCATCTCAAGATTCTTGAGACGTTCCTCGAGTTACTGGGCACGAGAGTTTTCTTTCTTCCTTTCCAAGGAAACCTCATCAAGCTCTGTCTTCAAAGACTCAAGCTTCAAGTTTGATTCCATCAGCTCAAGATTCTTGACGCGTTCCTCGAGCTGCTCGGCCCAAGACTCATATCATCTGATTTATTCTTCTCTAACGTAACCTCATCAGCAATCTTTGTCTTCAATAAAGTACAATTCAAGATACTTGACGCGTTTGTCGAGTTGCTCGGTCCGAGAGTTTTCTTTCGTCCTCTCCGAGGAAACCTCATTAAGCCCTGTCTTCAAATCATCAAGCTCTGTCTTCAAATGCTCAACCTTGAAGCCCGTTTCTTTCAGCTCAAGATTCTTGACGCGTTTCTCGAGTTGTTGGAACAGAGACCCAGCAGCATCATCTGATTTCTTTCTCTCCAAGGAAACCTCAAGATTTGCTTTCACCTTTCTCAATTCCATCCGCACAAGATTATTGATACGTTCCTCGAGTTGCTGGCCTCGAGATTCATCAGCATCTTCTGCTTTCTTCAACGCCAATAAAACCTCTTCAAGCTTTGCTTTCACCTTTCTCAATTCCATCACCTCAAGATTCTTGAGACATTCCTCGAGTTGTTTGACCCAAGAACAATCAGTATCATTTGTTTTCTTCCTCTCCAAAGAAACCTCATCAACCTTTGTCTTCAACCAGTCCAGCTTGAAACCTACTTCAATCAGCTCACACAACTTGCTTTGAGCATTGCTTACCTCAGTCTCTGAGTAATTCTTTGAAGGCTTGTTAATTGTCTCAAGGAGATTGAGGAGAACATTCATGTATGCTGTCTTCACCATTTCGTTCTTTGGTTTGAAATCTTTTGCAATGTCTGGGTGCTCTGCGAATAGCTTTGACACTAGAGTAGCCTGAAACGGAAAAGTATATGTTTATGTTACTCAGAAAAGGAATTTAAATCTATTCCTAAACAGAAGAAGAAAAACAAATCATATCCTTTTAAACTTGCATACCTGAGAAACCAAAACCTGAAAACCATTGATTTCCACAGTTTCCTTCTTCTCTGAAACATCTCCATCAACAGCTTCAAAATTTGTAATGTAGACTTCAATGATGAGTTTGTCCATATCCCAAAACCCTACATTTTCCTTAAGTTTGCTTACAGGATGGAGTCATAGCGTTAAACGAGTAGCGTGCTTGTGCAACTGTG